TGGGATTCGATGAGAGAGGGCTACGGGGGCATACTATAGACTACACAACGCAACGGCTATCGTATCAAGTGGGAGCAAAAAGGGATCGGCTCGACATTGCTAGAAAAGTTCGGATTTGGCGATGACGAAGGGACAGGGGTAAGTTTTGGGCTTTTTATTGAAATTGTTGAAGTAGATAGCTGATGTTTTATTTCATCTCAAGCTTAAAAACTACATAAAATTACGTTCAGTTTCAAAAAAATTCGGTAAAAATCGTATAAAATGTCGGAAAAAGTTGTTTCCATTCGTTATATATTTCTGCATCTGCTATGCTTTTTAAAAACGCCATTTTTATGGCAAATTAACCCGTAAAACTTCAATAAAAATTTCTAGCAAATTCCACGGTCGCACCGTCGTGATCAGCGGCGCTTCGCGAGGTATCGGCAAGGCGATTGCGCTCCGGTTGGCCAAGGATGGCGCCAATATTGTTGTTGGTTATTTATAAAGTTGTATCACGGACGTTAATCTAGCATTTTAATCTATTTTTATACCCTAAAAATCTCTCTAGGTCGCCGCCAAGACAGCCGAGCCACACCCTAAACTGAAGGGCACGATTTATACAGCCGCCAAGGAGATTGAGGAGGTATAATGTTTTCCAGTTTGTAGTTTGTAGGCAGTAGTTTGTAGTCTAGCCCACTAAAAGGTAAAAAAATAATTAAGTTATGTTTTTAGGCCGGTGGTCACGCACTCGCTTGCATTGTCGATGTCAGAAGCGAAGAGTCGGTCAGGGAATGCGTTAGAAAAACCGTAGGTCGTTAGTACAATCTATACTTAATAATTCATACTATTTAGATGATTTTAACACATAAAATAAGCATCGATTGATTCAATTTCAGGTCGAACGTTTCGGCGGTATCGATATTCTGATCAACAACGCATCTGCCATCTCCCCAACAGCCACTGCCGATACGGATATGAAGCGTTATGACCTCATGCACAATATCAACACCAGGGGAACATTTTTGATGTAAGGAGGTGTATTTTGTAGCCTATATGCTTCTTATATTTAGGACCAAGGAATGCCTACCTTACCTGAAGAAGGGCAAAAACCCGCACGTCCTCAACATCTCGCCGCCATTGGAAATGAAGGCCAAGTGGTTCCAGGTCAATTTAAAGCTATTTTTTGAAGGTAAACTGACGGAGTTTCTTGGGGAAGCGTGTGGCTCTTGAAAAAAATTTGTGTCGAATTATCATCCAATTTTCAGGCCCACGTTGGCTACACGATGGCCAAATACGGGATGTCAATGTGCGTACTCGGGCACGCTGAAGAATTCCGCCCCGATGGCATTGCTGTCAATGCACTGTGGCCATTGACTGGTAATTCTCAATTTTTTTAAAATTTTTTTGTACCTTGTATTCTGCCTTTATTTTCTATCAAAACGGATTATTTAGGAATTTACACGGCGGCAATGGAGATGTTGGCGGGTGGCGAAGATGCGAAGGCCGGGTGCAGGGATCCGGCTATTATGGCTGGTGCGTTTTGGGATTTACTCGTTTTATTTTTCATCAGTCTTTTAATTTTACAATGCTTTAAGGTTATTTGGGCTCTACAAAATTTTTTACCCCAAAAAGCTCTTTAAAATGCGAAATTCTGTCGTAAATTCGATTACGCCATGAAAATAGTTGGCAACGTTTTGGGCTGAAAAACTTTTGAAAGTTAATTTCACCTAATTTTTCAACTATATTTGACAAAATTATATCATTTGATTTTTTCAGACGCAGCCTACAAGATTCTCTCCAAGGGCCCGGGCTTCACCGGCAATTTCCTGGTAGATGAAGATTTCCTGAGGGCCGAAGGCGAGACCGATTTCGAGCAGTATGCGTGTGTGCCTGGTTCGTTTGCAAACTTGATTTTAAACCACCATTTTCTCAGGAACCCAATTGATCACCGACTTCTTTCTCCCCGAGGATTCTCTTCAACGACTCAATCAATATAATGAGGGAATTGCTGCACGCAGTAAACTATAAGGAAGCTAAGCTCTCCAGAATTCAACGGATGACGTTTTATTGATAAATAAATAACGAAAATTGCCACGCATCTGGCACTTAAGTTTTCCGAGCTTCGTTCTTTGGACGATTTGCTATCAGAATCTCGAAAATCAGAATATCGAAAATCAGAATATCGAAAATCGGAATCTCGAAAATTTCTACTTCTTGCCTATCAAAAAAAGTTAGGAAGCCGCCGGACAACTCCTATCTGCCTAAAAACAGTGGATTTTGGACTGCATTTTCGAGATTTCGATTTTCGAGAATCCGATTTTCGCGATTCTGATTTTCGAGATTCTTATTTTCGAGATTCTGATTTTCGAGATTCTGGTTTTCGAGATTCCGATTTTTGAGATTTTGATTTTCGAGATTCTGATAGTTTCCCTCTTTGAACACGCTCTAATCGCGACTACGAAACACCAATACGCAACAAAAAATTTATGCTATTATTTCGAACTGGGCATACGCGAAATTTGAAAGTTTGGTTAGGTCCGCCACTTTGCGCGGAATGCTTTGAAAGGGTGCGTTTTTCTACCCAGACAATCTGATACATCTTCACAAGATTTTCGGAAAAATGGGAATCCGCTCTTTTAAAACTGGTTCCATACAAACGCTTCGCCTTTTTTAAATACGGAAAATAACATAAAAACTCACACGTTATTCATGAAGACTGATCAATATTGAATGGTAAGGAAAACCTCGGAAACACGGCGTGGTCGAAATCGTTCCTTCCAATTCAGGTGCCCTAAAACGAAATCTTCAAGCAGGTCTTGGTTAAAATCACTTGAGCCGTTCCCACAATTGAGAGACCGCTTCTGGAAGCTCTACCATAAAATCCATATTCATAAAATATTGAGAGGCTAGGAGTGTGTGTAAGCCGATCTCTCATATTAGGACTCACTGAGTAGATTTTGTATTTCATCCGACAATTCAATAAGAATTGGTAGTATATCGACCAGCCGCAATGGAACGAATCGCAGAACGTCGTATATGTCGTGGCTTTCCACGAGTTTCATCTCTTTCTCGATGTACTTTCCGTCATACAAACCCGGGAGAATTTGGAAAAGCAATGCTTCATATTCATACGAGAGCTCGAACATTGCGAAAAAGAACACCGATCGTCTTTCTTTCACTTTGATTTCATCTATCAAGTTAACGAAGAGGTCATTGAAGTAAGGGTCGAAAACTTTCCGGTTTGTAATATATCGTAGAGCGGTTAGCATCAAGGTATATTCCTCAATATAATCAATTTGTTCGGGTGTCGAGCATTTATGATAGGGAACACGGCATTTTTCATCAGCCGATCGTGGGAACCCGCCGGCAATCGCGCATTCTCCTTCAGGACATTGATGTGCTGGAGGATGCCCATCGATGAAAATATACCCCGGGAATGGCTGATCAGGAACTGATTCTAGTTCTGTCAACAGATATTGATATTTCCATTGGGATACTCGACCGTTGTCTAAATATTTGAGCGACGACCGGAGGTCGCAAGTGCGTGTTGACAGATTTCCAGACAGATGACGTGCGTTGATTTTGGATTTTCCGTTTGAAATGCGTCCTTGCCTCAACTAATGCCCTCCTTAGCTGTTCATTATTCAATGGTTCCCGCTCCTTAACCATATAATTGCGTACTTCTTTTGAATCAAGTTTCTCGGATCTGGTTTCTGTGCAGTCTGCCCGCAGAAATAATCTCGCCAGCGGAAGATGGTACCATGAATATCGGGAATTCTCGATGTTTAGAAGTTTATACAGGGCTCTCATAGTAAATAATTTTCCCAATTCCTCAATGTTTTTAATGCTCTGGTCGAGTAACAACAAGGAATCCCACTCGGGAAGTATTTCGCGATCTATTTGTTGCAGTGCCTTGGCCGCAATGAGATGGTGATAATCTTGCACGCAAGCATCAAGCCGGAGTAGGCTTTCAAACCACCGCAGTATCGCTCCTTTTTCGTCTTGCTTTTCTGACTCGCGAAACCTTTCGCACTTCTCGGTAACATTGTAGTTAAGTCCGTATTTCATATCTTCGAAGAATAGCGGAGGATTGATCCTCGAACATTTTCCCATCTCTTCAGCACATTTGCATTGCTCCTCAATCGAGAGCCTTGACATCTTCTGGAGAATGGGCCCGCTTAAACGTCTTCTCATTTCGTTAAAATCTTTAGGTTTCACGGCTTTTAGTTTATCCAAAAATGAAAGAAAAAAGTCTGCATTCATCGAAAATAAAAGTCTGCAGCCGTAGAATTCCAGATATTCTTCAATTACATCAGTTCGAGTACCTTGGAATGCCGTAACAAGCCCCAACCTTTCTTGGAGTTCGATTAGCAGTCTTTTTCGCGGATCGACCTTTTCTTTCTGCTGTAGCAGTTCCGAATCCAATTCATTATTATCTTCTATCATAGATGAGCAAATCGGTGGTGGTAAGATTTCGTCGTACTGTGAAAAACCCTCCTCGCCAACCCCTAATAATCCCATCGGAGGCTCCAGCCTCTTGCGGTCGGGGCGCGGATCTGGCTTAGCGTGAGATTTTTCGAACTCCTAGAATCAGATCAAGGTATAAATTTTGTTTTCCATCCTACCTTTACCATTACTTCGCATAGCCTCAACGCGTCTTCCACACCAAGTCGTTCTGAGACGAATTTTATTGTACACCTAATCGGAAGTAGATAGATACTATTGCCAGCTCACCCGGCTACAAGTTTTTTCAAGGTATTCAAATGCAGTCTATCCTGAAATACGGCCTCCATGGCTCGGCTAACAGGACTAAAATTGATTAAAGGATGATATTTTTTTCCTCGTTCTTACTTTCTAGTCACCATATCGAACACAACCCATCCAGCTCCATATATATCACATTTATAGACATCCTAAATATTTATGACTTTGCTATCATGAATGCTTTCTACCCACATCCACACTCAGCGTGAGACCGTGCACGACTTCCGGCGCCATATAGCGCGGGGTTCCACCTCGCGGTTTTGCAATGGATTCCAGATCACGCACAATTCCAAAATCACCCAATTTCACGATGTAATCATGGCCATACACGAATAAACTATGAACAGAGATAAATTCCCACTGCTGCCTCACTTATCCGGCTTGACATCATGGTGAACAATCTTTTTGCTTTTGATATATCCGAGGGCGCTAAACATTTCTGTCGACCATTTGGCAATTGTTGCCATTGAATAAGCGACAGTTACATCCGTAATAACTAAAAATACCCATGCAATAGATCGAAAACAGTACCATGTCGCAATGAAAGATGTTCACAGTATTCCATAAATAGCAACAATTCGTTTGAATTGATTCCAGGATAATTGAAGGGAGGATCATAATATCTAACCACGTTTTCATGTGAAAATTCCTAAGCGCTGTAAGTCCACATTTATACTAAAGAAAATCACCTTCAAAACTCGTAGCTCCCTTAAATAGCTGGTGTAATTGTTTGTGTGAAATACCTTCTTCATCACCATTTGTCTGTCATTTATATTTCTTTGTTATGAACAAAAAAACACATACGGTTCGGTATCGGGTAGATGCCATACTTCTCCTTGTCCACCCTTTCCAAGCAGTCTCATCGCCATCTTCCAGAACAAAAATGATTGGAGGATCTGCAAAACAAAAGTTAGCATCATGATCAGTAATACACGTTGCTTCTCAAATCAAATACAAAATGAGGCTACAATGGCGGAGAAGCGTTGCACAAGTGGTCTCTCGCTATTGATTCATCTCACCTGAAAAGAGGGAGCTGAAGATTGGAGGGTGAAAGAGGGGTGGGGGGAGTTGAGAGAGCGTTAGAAAGTGAGGACACCAGAAACAATTCACGTCTCCGCGATCCGCCCACCCTTGATAAGCCTAGAACGCCCGCCCCTAAAAGGGTAGCCTCCAAATCTTTTCTTGCACATAAATCCACCGCGAAACCTCTTGTGCAAGGGTTCCCCAATTAAAGAGGCTGTAAAGGCCCGTGTCGACGGTGTTTGGACGAGGACTTGTCGTCAGATTTCGTTTAGTGCGCCTCAAGTTTTGATGCCCTCACACAGCGGCCCGGCTCCTAATAAAACATCGGGTAGCTTTGGAAACCAGGGAAGACCGCAACGCGTGCGATAGACGCGTCGCGCGATTACGAAAGCAGGCCTGCGCGGCTAAAAACGGTTGCTATTCCGCGCGCCCGCACGTAACGAGCGAAAAACACGTACAGTACGCCCTTTCTTTCCCTTGAACCATCTGGAACGAACCCATGAGCAATTGTGCTCGAGGCAAAAACAGCCCATGTGTGGCTTTTGAAGCACGGCCTTCGTTGCACTAATTGCGCAACGCAACTATACTTGTGCGGTGCTGTATTTGTGCACGGGAGCGTCAAAATCGAGAAGCACGAAACCAAGCGATCCAAAGCCCTCCCACAAAGCGCGTTGTCACGAGCTGTCCCTGTCCCTTTAAACCAATATTGTCTAATTATTGCAATCGGTAACGTAATGGCGAAGAGCTTGCTGGGTCGTGGCGGGTTTGGGGAAGTATGGCATCTGCCCGAGACAGATCCGTAAAGGATGCGCTTCATGCCTAATTAATACAGGTGTTTATAGGCCAATGGTAGTGAAGAAATGCCTACAAACCGATGATTATAAGGGTGATCTGAAGGAACTATGCGCGCTGAAAGTAGCTTAACGGAAAATAAACAAAATCCTCGTTTAGGAATTGTCGCTTGAGAACGTAGTCAAATATTATGATCGGCCAGTCAACTATCCGGACCGGGATGAGTTGCTGCTAGAGTGCGGCTTATTCAAACTGGGTTTGAATAAGATTTCGATCCTTATTAAAAACAAACTCGTTTTGAATAAGCATTCCCAACCCAAACCAAACCAAACCGGTTTCAATAATTTGAACCAGGTCTGAATAAGAACCATTCTCCGAAACAGTCTGTTTTCTGCACTATTTTTGCGTTTTGACACCAATCTATCGGTGGTTGCCTTTAGGGTCGTTCGGCAGCATTCCTGATGGATTCATGCAGATGAACAAGATTTTTAGCAGATTTTTATTTTGATTTTGCTTTTCACCTAATGCACCCCTTTTTTTGCTCATGGAAACGCCGAAATGCCATCAACGCTGGTCCAGAAATGTTTACAGAAATGACATCGTTTACAGCAATCTCTTTTCACTGCTTTGTCTAGTGCCAGGCTTTTTCAGGGCGGCCGAACCGTGTGTATTGGATTGCCGTCAGCCAATTGATTATTCCCGGGACTGGCGTTGAAAAATAATAGCCCGAAAGTGGCAATTTTGGGTTACGGTGGCGGATCCACGTTTAAGTGGCGGGGCACCCTTTAGCGAACAGTACAATCACTTGGATAGTAAAACGATACTCCAATGTAGTTTTCTATTGGTTATTTCACTTTTTTTATGGATAATAATAATTGATCAACAAAAAATCAGACAAGCACACGCCTTACGTTTTTTGCTCGCGCTTCTTGCCGATTTTTTGCTCGACTGCATGCTGAAACGCATTTAGTCAAGTCTTTGTCTCACGGAGTGAAATGAATAGCGAGGATTTTCCTATATAAGAATATTTCGGGCAGTATAATGTCGGAAGTAGAAGCGTACGCTTGTCCAGCGATGTTCTGTCGCTATAGTACCCCATGGTCAACTACTCTGAAACGACATGTACATTCCCAGCACCCTGGCATCACTTATCCGGCGTCCCCGGCGCATTTGAAGGAATTTGCGTGCCGAGAATGCGACAAACGCTACGGCACGCAGAAACATCTCCGAGAACATCAGAGATTGAAGCATGCAGCAAAGCCTACTGTTGGGGAAGCGCGAATCACTTGCTCGGTGTACCCGGACACGTTTTCTAGCCACCAGGAACTAGTTGTTCACTTCCAGCAGCATGATGAAAAGTACGCGGGTGCCTTTAAGTATATGCTTTTTAGATGCGCAAATGCCACGCTTGAGCTCGACTCCGAAACTATGTTTAACGCATGGCTAAAAGCAACTGAGCATAAGAACTTCTGTTCCTTTTCGATTAAAAGCTCAACAAACATCAGTTTGACAAACTTGCCAAAGAGAATAGAAAGGCGACGCCGATCCTCGATGCAAGCAAGACGTACCAGATGGAGAAACGAACCGCAAGGAATGCGTTCTTGGCGCAGCAAAGAAAAGCCAAAGAATAATCCCTCGAGTCAGGTTGCCATTGTTTATTCTGTTGTTCCTGTTGCTGTTATTTTGCTCTTTTTGTTGAAATAAACACTTCCAAATGCGTTTCAGCAAGCAGTCGAGCAAAAAATCGGCAAAAAGCGCGAGCAAAAAAAACGTAAGGCGTGCCCTTGTCTGATTTTTTTGTTGATCAATTATTATTATCCATAAAAAAGTGAAATAACCAATAGAAAACTACATTGGAGTATCGTTTTACTACCCAAGTGATTGTACTGTTCGCTAAAGGGTGCCCCGCCACTTAAACGTGGATCCGCCACCGTAACCCAAAATTGCCACTTTCGGGCTATTATTTTTCAACGCCAGTATTCCCGGGGAGCCCAACGACGCTGATACCCTTGGTGATCAATAGAATCAGTTGATTTTGAGGTGCGTCTACTTTTAAATGCGATTTTCACGTCAAAAGGTCTACTCGTTTATTGCTTCAATCAAATATAGTTAATTACTCTACAGATTTTACAATTTATAGCTTGGCCTTTTGTGCCCCTTGGAGAAGTCCCTGTAGTTTTTGGAGCATCATGATATTTCCCTTGGCTTTGATCTTTCCCTGCATGAACGCCTGAAACATGGAAAGGAGTAAATTCATAAAATACAAACTACAAAGCCAAAAAAAGGTTGTCTGTTGTCTCTCGTACCTTTGTTGGTTCTAGTTCTCCGGCGGCCAATTTCACGAAATCCTCATCGTCGACGGTTACCGTAACTTGGGCCTAAAAAAAGGTTGAAAAAAACACGTGATTTTTGCGAAAAATGACTGTTTAACAAATCTTACTAAATAAAAATTACCTTTTCCTTAGCTTCTCCCTCATAAACGGTACCGTCTCCGTTCTTCAGATCGATTGCTAAAAATAGTTTTTTAGATTTTCAATTGGATTCTAAGCTTTTTAAAACTACAGTTTTCGAATCTATTTATTTTTTAATCATGGTTGCTGCTTAAATTTCAATTTTTAATCTATAAACATTCATTTTTCAAAAATTTTTAGATAGAGAAATTTGCGTATAAATGGACTTACTGTATTTGCCGACGACTTTCCCTCCAGAAGTGAGCTCGTACTGAATGATTCCCTTCACTTGTTTCACCTTTTGCGTGTGGTTCGGGAGTTCGGCCTGGAAATTAAAGTTGAAAAACATTTTTCTAATTTTTTTTGGGTACGGTGAGTCAAAATTACAAAAATTCAGAAACTCAAAAAATGTCATAATTCAATTTGCCATTTTGCAAGCCATTAACAATTCTAAAACTTGCTACAAAATCCACTTACCTTGATCTGGTCGAAAAGGGCCGCCGATTTCAGCGTCATTTTTCCCTGAAAAACGCGTTATTTTGCATTTTGGGTTCTTTAAAGCTTAATTTTCAAATTTTTCGTGCCAGATTTTGAATTTTTCGTTTTTGAAAATTTATTTGCTGGCTCGATTTTAATGCAATAATTTAGAATAATTTATTGGAGCTAAAAATCCAGAAAAAGCCGAAAAATTGAGGGAATCTGGGGGCAGATTGTTAGCCGGCATGGAGGGGAGAAGGGGCATTGGCAAGTGTGTGATAAGACTCGAGCTTCTTTCCCTTCCAATTCTGTCAATTCTTTTGGATTTGATAAGCCGACAATACAATACGGATTTGATGAAATATCGCGATGAGGGCAAAGAATAAAATCCAGAAAAATAAAACCCGAAAAATTATATGAAAATTTCTGCATAAAAATTGTTTTAAAGGGACAATGACAGTTGGTAAATTCTACCAAAAATAACCCTAAAATGGTCCAAAATCCGCTTTTAAAGGCACAATGACACCAATAAATTTCGTCTACCCCAGGACCTGAAACCCCAAATTTTGATGGGACAGTGACGAGAGGGATAAAATTCTGCTACAATAACCAAAAAAAACCGTCGAAAATCCAATTTTAAAGGGATGATGACAGGTCAGTTAAGCTACCGTAGCACCAAACAGAGAAAATTATTTCAAGGAACTGGAAATCCAATCATCGTTTTTCGCTATGGATTTCCCAAGACGACTCGACGCGACACGCAACGCGCGGGGTCGGAATTTCACGGCGTAATGGACTACGAACGTTGCAAGCCGCACAAGCGTTGCGTCGCGTGGCGTGTTGCGGTGTATGTCGCGCTGCGTGTCGTTTAAAGGCACAGTGACATCCCAAAGTTCCCAAAAAACAAAGGAAATCACCTTTTTTAAAGGGATCACTACAGTAAAAAAGTCAGATGTCACTGTCCCTTTAAAACCAAAAAAGCTATGTATGTGTTTGAACACCTACCGTATTCGGGGCAGATACTGGACATCCAACGGCAGCTCCACCAGTCATTCCATCAATTTTTGCCCACGCATTTGCAATAACCACTTTCCCCGTCTCTTTCACCTAAAATAAAAGTAAAATAAAAATCGTATAAATACGGAAAACATGTCAAAAATGACGTTTCAAGACTACGGTACCTTGGTCTGGAAGAGCACTCGATCCCCTTCTTTCCACATTTCCGTTTGAAGGGTTTGACCTGGGAGGACAGGAGAGGAGAAACGCACCTAAAAACATGAAAAAATTGATTTCTAGGAATTCTCGAATCATCCCTGCTAGCGACCCAATTTCCCCAAAAAACTCTGCTAGCTGCCCCGTACCCCGTTTCTTTAACCTGTCTGCTTGCTAGCCTGCCTCCAACATCTCTAAAAAACTCTGCTAGCTTGCCTTTTGATATCAGTGCCCAGCTTTTCCCTAAAAATCCCTGCTAGCCTGCCAACGCTGAGTCGAGTTTCCGCAAAGAACCTCTGCTAGTCACCGGGCGGATCTGAGTAATTTTCCACAAATTTCTTGCTAGCTTGCCTCCCAAAAACAAAATTTTTGGGCATTTTGACGCCTCTTCCGCCAAAAACCCTGCTAGCTTGCCCGTCCTGTACCTTGATAGCCCTCAATCGATTTCCATCATTCTCCGCAAAGCTATTTATGACGTGACGGGCTGAGAATCCCATCGAGCATAGACCGTGAAGGATTGGCTCCGGGAATCCCGACATCTGAAACGACGATTCTATAATTTCCTCAATCTCTCAGCTAGAGTGCCTAAATTTTTTCGGATTTCCTCAAGAGCTTCTGCAATAATTTCGAAGCCTAATTTCTTAATTTCCCAAAGAATTTGCTTCGAAAAATTGGGAAATTTCCTCAAAAACCTCTGCCAGCTCCCCTCCTAGAAAATCGTCTATTAATGCACCGACCTGTGCGAATGACGGATCGATATGGAGCGGGTTGGGATCTCCAGATCCTTGACGGTAGAGGGCAGCCTGGAAAGACAGAGTCTTAATGAGAGAGGGAGATAGAGAGAGAGAGAGAGAGACCGATACCTGATCGAGAGATGTCTTCTCCTCAACAATTCTATCCGGTTTCCTCTCCGGAATTTTGGCCGTTTGGAATTCTTCAGGGGAGGTACGGGCCCCACCGAAACCACCGGCACCCACCTGGAATTGAGGAATCGCTTACGCTAAGAAAATACGTAGTTTCAATCGATTACGCCATGAAAATACAGCGGTTAGGGTCGATTACACTAGGAAAATACCGGATTTCGGACGCTTACGCTATGAAAATACGAAAAGACGTAGCAGTGATTTTTGAGCAAACCAGCCTTGAACCAATCGATTACGACATGAAATTATTTATGGGTTTTCAGTGAATTTTTCAATGATTTAGTGGCGTAATCGGTGAAATTGTCGAACCTGAAAAGTGGCGAATTGTTGCATGAACAGTTTCTCGCCAGTATCATCATCATATGTCGTTACTGTAAGTAGATTTTTTGCTTTTTAAAGGCCGCTTGAAGCCGTACCATTGGACAGAATCAATGCTCCTTTGCCCTTGTCAAGAATCTCGGCCACTCTCTGGCTACTTCTCAATTTTCCCTCCGTCGGAATCGGCTTGTAGAATTCGATATATTGCTCGCCGTGCAGGATGCGGGTCAGATCGTAGGAAACACCTGAAAAAGTAGTTCTTTCAGTTTTAAAGGGACCGGGAAGGCAAGAAATTATGACTGACCTGGCCAGCTAGCCAGCGATTTGACGACAAATCCAGGCACGACGGCGAATGTCGGGAATACTTGGAAATTCTCATCCAACTCGTACACGTAGCGAAGATCGTCCTTTGCCTTTGCGCCGACTAAAAAATATGGATTTCAAAAGGTACAGATGTTTTAGGGCTTTTAAAGGAGTTAGGAAGGCAAAGAACCTTCTGGATTTTCGTAAAACTTTCTACGTCCATTTTTTTATGCTTTTAAGAGTCGGTCCACATAAAAAATGTTTGATTTTTATAAAACGTTAAATCATCGTTGTTTTTGACGACTTTAAAGGGGCCCGGATGCCAAAACAAGCTATGAATTTTCATCGTAAAGACGTAAAACGTACTGCCAAGAGCATAGATGATGGCATCCCTGGCGTTGTACTCAAAATCCTCGTCCTCAACTTGGTGGGCTTTTGCCGCCGCTGCGTCCATTTTCCCTGATACATATTTAGATGCTAGATTTACAAAAAAGAAAAATAAGATGCATGAAAAACGCAAAAAAATAATACAATAATTAGGAGAGGTAGAAAAAAATGCTTTTTCAGATTTTCTAGTAATTTTTGAAATCAAAAAAATTGAAATTTCGAATTTAGAAAATTATTTTTACAAAGGAAACTCTATTAAAAATAAAAAATCATTTAATGTATATAATAGCCTTAAAGGTATCTGCTACAGCCAGTTAAGCCACTTATTATTAAGAACGGGAGGTATGGCATCGAAAGGAGAGACACGGACACGACCCTTTCTATCCCCCAGAGTTCCGAACAGATAAGGAATTGCCCTGCCCTCGCTCAATCAAACACTAGACTACAAAACTATCCTCTCTCCCTCTCGCCTCTAATATCTTCTTATCAAACATCTGCTCACCACATTGCTCTCCTCTCCATCTCGATCCTAATTGCGCGTTGCCACGCGGAATTTTCGCAGATTTATGATCTGTTTTCCTAGCCGATTTTTTCTGTGGTTTTTTAAGCTACAGTAATCCGATTTCTAGATAAACTGGTTGTCAATCAAGCGAAAAAAATTCAAGAATATATTTTAGAAATTATTTATCTCATTTTCTTCGAAATTCCGGAGGTTTTTAGGTGAAAAAGCATCGTTTTTTGCTGAAACTATTTTCTTATTTTCCCGGCTACGGCAACCCTATTTCCCGTTGATTTAGCTGTCGTTTTCACAATAAAAACAAAAATATATTTTTCCGAAATTTTTGTGATCACTTTCAACAAAATTCGAGAGATTATTAGGTGAAAAATCATCGATTTTTTTTCCTAGAAATATTTTCTTAATTTTCTGGGCTACGGTAATCCAATTTCCGGTTCAACCGGCCGTCAGTTTGTCTAAAAATTCGCTGAAGAATTTATTTAAATTTTTTGATCTTAGTTTAAAGCATATATTTTCATTTTTTTCAGGTAATAATGGACGGAGCGAATGTATTATGCCAGGCCCTCAAACATCAGGTATCCTTTTTGTTTGTCAGCTTAAACTGGATACTGTAGCCCGTATTTTACAAAAATTATATTATTTTAGGGCGTTGAGTATATGTTTGGAGTGGTTGGATTCCCGGTGATTGAAGTGGGAATGGCTGCCCAGGCACATGGCATCAAATATATCGGATGCAGGAACGAGCAGGCTGTAAGATACTTTTCATGTTTTCCTGATTAATTTAATTATCCATTTTATTAATTGTTTAAAAACCTATTTTAGAATTGAAATTCTCATCCATTTTTAGGCGGCGTACGCAGCCCAGGCGATGGGATATTTGAGTGGGCATCCAGCGGTGTGTCTCGTAGTGTCTGGCCCTGGAATATTGCATGCTATCGGGGGGCTGGCTAATGCTACCGTCAATTGCTGGTCAGTTTGTCGTTTGCACGTGAAATCACCTGTCTCAGTCCCTTTAAACGCATAAATTCACACAATTTTGCCTTTCAGGCCGATGATCTGTATTGGCGGAGCTTCAGATGTGGATCAAGAAGGAAGGGGCGCCTTTCAGGTGGCAGTTTTGGCTTAACTGGCAGCCAGTAAAATTATCTGGAGAGGATTACTGTAGCTTGGAGCTCAAGTAAAAAATTGAGGCGTGGAATTGGCACACTGCCAGCCAGTTTAAAATCTTAGGGAGGTTTTTGGCTGTTTCGTATTTTACTAATCCATTTTACGGTGATAATTGTCATTTTTAGCTATTTTGAGGCTTTTCAAAATTTAATTTAATTTTTCTACATTTACGAGCGATTTTTACAAATGAGAATGGTCATTTTTAACGTGTTGTTTACTTCAGGAATGGCCCCAATTGGAGAGTGCTCGAGCCGCGTGCAAATATGTCAGCCGCCCGACTACGGTGGAGGCCATCCCGCATCACGTCGAAAAGGTAAAAATTCGTTTTTAGAAATGAATTTCTTCTAAAATTTGAATTTACGAGAAATTTTTTTGAAAATGCCTTAATTTATAAAATGCCAAAAATTTATTATAAAAAAAATTGCATTTTTAGAAAAGTAAAAAATTTTCGGTAGAAAATAGCATTATACAAAATTTAACCTATTAAAATTTACATAAGTAAGTTATTCTTACAAATTAACATTTCTGAGAATTTACCGGTTTAAAAAACTAAAAAAACGATAAAAGGAGTTTTCGATAAAAGCTATTTTTTTGAAAAATGTAAAAAATTTAATTTTTTGACAAGAATTCATTTTTTGGAAAAATAAAGCACAAAAATTCAAAAAAAATAATTTTTGCAGGCCGTCCGCACGTGTATGTACGGTAGACCGGGCGCCGTTTATATTGATCTACCCGGAAATTTGGTGTTGACTTCCGTCGAATCTGAGGAAACCATTCCGTAATCTAATGCCTATGGATTAGCCTTCACGGGTCCTTTAGATGCCCACCAAAGGTTCCTCTACCTCCTCCCGTCTCTGTCCCTCCACTCCCCATCACCCAGATAGCCATTGATGTTCTGAAAGGGGCCAAGAAACCACTTGTTATCATCGGAAAGGGTACGGTAGGCTACAGGCTACAAACTACAAATTTTATTAGCCTACTGGCGATACTGTCTGTCAGTCCATCGATTGATTAACAAAACAAAGCCAAAACTAGAGGCTACTAGCTAGAAACCACAAACTACAATCCTCCCTGTGTTCAGGTGCCGCCTGGTCAGAGCGTGGCCCGCTGGCCGTCCAACGTTTCCTGACCCGTACCCAATTGCCATGGCTTGTCACCCCTGGTGGAAAGGGTGTTGTACCCGATGAGATGGCACGGTATGGATTTTGTAAAGAGTACTGGAGCGAAATTACGGTTTTATCGGTTCAATTGACTATCTGGAAGACAGAATAGCGATTTCTGTAGCTTGTAGTCAGCGTACAGCATCGGAATATTGTAGATTTTTTTATTTTCTGCCACTTTGGGAGACAGAATAGCGTTATTTTGTAGTTTAGCCGTCGTACTGTAGCGGAATTTTTAGTTTTTCGGTTTTTCACTTTGCTGCCGACCAGATTACAGATGCTTGTAGTTTGTAGCCAGCGTACTGTAGCGGAATATGAATTTTCGTTACCTTTTTTTACTTAATTGCCGCCCAGGTTAAGGATTTTTGTAGTTTAGCCAGCGTACTGTAGCGGAATTTTGTAATTCTCTCTATTTTTCTCTTCTCTGGCGGTCAGACTAAAGAAATTCGTTTTAAAGGGACAGTGCCACCAACAGCGCTTTCAGTTGCGTTGGTCCAGCCCGTTCGTATGCCCTAAAAGAAGCGGATACAATCTTCTTGATTGGCGCTCGCCTGAATTGGATGCTCCATTTCGGGATGCCCCCTCGATTCAACCCGAATGTCAAGATTGTACACGTGTGTACTTTGTAGTCTCTTTTCTATTGGCTATAGTTTGTAGTCTACAAAATTAATTCTCTCGTCTTTTAGGTGGATCTGGCCCCCGAGGAATTCCATCAAAATCTGCGAACTGAAGTGCCGCTTTGTGGTGATATTGGAGAGACTATTTCACAGGTATACTGTAGCTACAAACTACAAAAATCTTTAAATTAAACTCTAACCTTAAAAAGTGCAATTATTCAGATTAAACCTGAGGATTGAAAAAAATCAAATTTAAATTCCAAATTCTCAGTTTAATTTTGCGTGTTTAAATTAATTTCTAAGTTGATTCCATTTTTAACTTAATTCGCGTTTCTTAAAATTGAATTTAATTCTCAATTGTTTCATCTAATTTCAGTGTTTTAAAATAGTATGGTAAATTTTGTAAATTTAATTAATTCTAATAAGCCAAAATCCATTTTTTTAGATGCTCGGCCAGCTTGGCACCTCGTGGAAATACGCGGAAAATACGGAATGGTGGACAAATTTGACGGCTAGCAGCGTCAAAAATAAGTAAGCCAAGGGACTAACCGATTACGCAATGAAATTCCTGTAAAGAACCCGTCAAATTCTTACGTTAATCTAAAAAATTAAGCGATTACGCAACCCAACTCAAAACCGCAGACCTTCTGCCTCGAATTTGCGGGCTAAAACGATCCGATTACGCCATATAAAGCTGCCAAAAATCGATCGTGTTTATCCAGTTATGCGCTGTATTTCCGTCGAAATATCATGGCTTTTCACCCATTTTTTTACAAATTAAAACCGTGCAAACAAAACTGCGGAATGCTGCAAACTTGACGAAAATGATTGTTTTTAGGAAAGCGGTGGAGGCGATGGCCGTCGATCACAGCACTCCACTCAACTACTATGCCGCCTATCATCCCGTAAGCGATTCACGCTATTTTAATAAAATCTGTGCAAAAAATTAGAAACCTTTTTTGAGCCCGAAAATATTGAAAAATTAAACTGACTTTAAAAAAGTAATTTTTTACCCTTATATCACCATGTCGCTCCTAGATCCGCGAATTCCTGCGCGAAAACGACGTGATTGTGGTGAATGAGGGGGCGAATACCATGGATATTGGAAGGTAATGTAGTTTGGAGTTTGTAGCCTTGTAGTCTGTCGTTTGTAGTTTGTAGTCTTCGAGTTCTAAATAATATATTTTTAGAACGATGATGCCCAATGCGCTCCCGAAACGCCGCCTGGATGCTGGGACTTTTGGTGCGTGAGACTTCAAACTACAGTCAACAACTTGTAGTTTGTAGCTTACGAAATACCGTAATTCATAGCCAAATGTGATTAAAAACCACGAGATATTGTGTTTTGTAGCTGCTTTTCGCCCGCGAAACTTCGATTTACACGTGCGGAAAACGCGTTGGAGTTTGTAGTCTAATCGCCACGCATCTACAGGCCACAACTAGTTATTTTAGCCGATAAAACCCCGTACTTTGTAGCCAATTTGAGCACCTAAACTACAAAATACAACGCCAAATTGACGCCGATTTTCAGGAACGATGGGTGTCGGGCAGGGCTATGCAATTGCGGCCGCCCTCTGGGCCAGAGATCATTCCCCAAAAACCAAGGTATCCACTCAAAACTAATCGATCACGACGTCAAAAAATAATAGCCGATTTTCATGGCGTAATCGATAAAACCTGGTTCTCAGGTGCTGGTCGTCCAGGGTGATAGCGCGTTCGGCTTCAGCGGCATGGAGCTCGAGACGATTGCTAGGTGAGCGCAAGTAAACAGCGAAAAAGCTAGGAACTTTAAAAAATAATTTAACAAGTCAACCTGGCGTTCAAACTACAAAAAAATTTAACGATAGCTTAGGAAGGCCAGTTTTACAAAAAAAAAACTGAATTTAACGATATTTGCAAAAAAAATCCTAGCTGCAAAAACCAATTCAATAGTTCGAATCGGGCCCCAAGCCACCAAAAAATTAAATTTAACGATAGCTTAGAAAATCCCATTTAAAAAAGGGTAAATTTAACGATTTAAACCGGGCTCCAAACCACAAAAATTCCAGATACAAACTGCCCGTGGTGACGGTAATCCTGAACAATTCTGGGATCTACCGTGGACTGTCGCCTGAAGATATGGCATCTGTTGATGGAGATCCTACCCTCCAATTCCCCGTTCTATCACTCAGGTGAGTAGGGGGAGATGATTGGGCCCTGAAACCTAAACCAAACGATGGCAAAATTTCGTCTAATCGATTACCCGACCTCAAACTGCAGAAAATGCTAAAACTAAAGCAATCCAGACAGAAACGTGAAAACTTTTTATTAAAAGTAGAAAAAATATCGGGTTTTCGACCAAAAATCGCCGATTTTCGCCCAAAATTGCATCTAAAAGTTCTTTTCGAAGTTTTGGTAGTGGTTTCTCCACTGAAATATAGTTAAATTTTGCTCAAAACGCGCCTAAAACACTTACTATTTTGCGAGGCCGTTATGGAACTCCAGAAAAAAGTTGATCCCCTCCCCGATAATGCGAAAGAACCAAAAAAAGCTAAAAAGCGCAACAAACACGAAAATGACATTTTCAGCGCGGAATGCCGTTACGACAAAATGTGCGAATCGCTTGGGGGGGTCGGATACACGGCCAGAACGGTCCCCGAAATCAAGCAGGTACGCAACTCGTCGATTTTCAGTTCCTAAAACCTAAAATAACCACCAATATTCCCTCTAATTTAGTGCCTCGCTAAATCATTCGAAGAGCCCTCCCGCCCGTCCCTGATCAATGTATTCATCGCCACCGACAGCGAGCGAAAGAAACAAGAACACAACTGGCTCACAAGATCCAAGATGTAGACCTGAAATCTGTCCGGGCAAACTCGTTTTTTTTTGTCTAAAATTAACGCCGATAAATATGTAGTGAATAGTCGCTAGTTTTACGTTATTTAAAAAGACCCGTGAATTTTGCGAACCGCTAAAACGATAAAAAAGCTTCTGTACTCAGGTCCTGGGGTCCACCCAAAATCCGATTGGATTCCACCTGGATTCGGGGTGGAACGCATGGAAATCGGCTGGATTTCGGGTGGATGCACACGGAATCGAGTGGAAACACGACGCAACGCGTGCCGCACGCGACGCGGCACATGGAAATCGAGTGGAAACCGGGCGGATCCGCTCGATTTCCAACTGATTTTCCGAGAGCTATTGGAAATCAACCGCATTTCGTGTGGAAAATAGACGACAAACTACAAAAAATCGCTGGGCAGCCGGCAAACATTTTTTCGAATTATTTTTAAAAGAAAAATGGTTTCTCAAGTGTTTTCTCGTTACTCTTGGTTACTTTTGTGAGTTTTTCCTCATATTCTGCGTTAATAAACGTCAAAACTTGTCCTGGACTACTTTTAACACATTCTATCGAGCTTTTCCGTTGTTTTTTTGCCATTTTCAGAATTACTTTTCACCTTTTTAATTTTCGAATTGCAGGTACGGCGTCGGGAGCAAGAGCCAAGAACGATTCGCGCGTTACAAGCACTTTCAACGCCCGATGCCCAGCAGGTACTTCGTTATTTCGAGTTTTTTTTAGGTAGCGGCATGTCTGCGTCCATTCAACGACCGCACAAACCACGTGAGGCAAAGCTTGACGTGCGCCAAGCGTAACCCTGGGTTTGGAATCACGCATTTTGTAAGTTTAATCACTTTTTTATGTAGTTTTTGTTCAGTTCTCTGCAAGAACGACATCCGGAGAGACAATCGGCAGTGCTCAAGGCTTGGTTCGATGATCGTGACGAGGACAAGTAGTGTATGGTCCGAAAAGTGATTTCTGGTGTGTTTTGATCTTTTTTTACTTATTCTGACAAAGGTGGGTCATTGTAGGCAATATTTTCGGAGCTTCCGGGTGAACGTATCTTGTCGAGGGCGGTTTATCGTCGCAAATAAAATTTTACAGCTAAACCATTTCTTTTTAGACGAACAAACCATTTCGACGGGGTTTTTAGTCTAGAAGAACTTAATAAAGTTACGAAAATGACAAAAATGTTTCATTTTCTGCCAGAATAGGATGAAAATGACCAAAACTGAACAACCACTTCTGGATTTTAAGAACTTTTATAGATTTATTTTGTTCGAAACGTGGCTTCCGGTGTGTTTTTAGTTTTCTTTGACCTATTCTGAGTAAGATGGATCGTTTTAGGTAATATTTTCGGAGCTTCCGGGTGAGCGGGGTTAGTAAGGCTAAAGTTTGCGAGGGGCTGCAGCGTGGCAAATAAAATTTGTTATTTAAACCACTTCTAGCAAGACTGATAAACATTCCACAGCGTTTTTTTTATATAGAAAAACTTATTAAAATTACGAAAGAGCCAAAAACTTAGTCGTTCCGACAATACATGTACAAAAAATGACGACCCTTAACAAAAACCTCTGAGTTTTAAGAGCTTTTATAACCTTTTAGAATGATGCTTCTATCCAGGTTTTGATAAATTATGGAAACCTCCTAAAAACACTATAAAAATATATTATCTTTCATTAGCAGTCAAGTATCCATAAATAGATTGAAAAATTAGCCTTATCTCCGGCTAACACCGAAGCACCATCGTTTCGATATTCTTAGGCCAATATTTTTTAACCTTCTAGTCGTCCATGAATATCGAAAGGAGAAAAAAAATATTATGTAGATTTAGGCTTCACGTGTGCTAAAATTATAAAGGAGAGATTTATTTTATCAAGGTTCATTGTTAGTCCTTTTAATATTGATCTTAATGTGCGAGTTCTAGATGGCGAAACGAATGGCCGGTGATGCTTCGGTGTATGGTGCCGGTGTATGTTCCGGAGCAGGTCGTACTTGCACTTGCATTAAATTTTATAAGTTTAGGTAGGGCGTTCATCTACCCACCGCGCGAATCGACAGGAAGAGATCGGCCACGCGATCTCCGCTTTTGGTTCGTTTTGTTATTCTTTGATCATGTTGATATTTTCTAGGAAATACAAATGAAGGAATGTGCACTTACGACAGCGCGGGTTGGGCCCCTTCCAAAAGGTAATCTTTTTTGAACGAGTATTAACTTCTTTTTAGCCATTTGCCTGTCCTGAAATGATGATGATGATGTGCGGTCGCTTGCGTATGGCGTATATGGGTAAGCTCGATTTTCGAAACAAATCTTGTCTTTAGTGGTGTCAGCGTGAAACCATGAAGCGGGACGACATGCGGCCGCCACGCGCAACGACAACACCAAACGCGGCGGCGACGACGACACCAACTCCATAAGCAACGCAAAGAACTTTCTTCATGCGAGTATGTAAGAATATTTTTATTATCTTTTCCATTTGGGTTGTAACTATCTTGTAAATTATTTCTTCGTTTGTATATCTTTTATTTCTCGCATTCCTTCGTGTTGTATAATTTATTTTGATGTTATTTGTGTAGATAAATGTATTGGTACTGTATACACCGTGTAACTGCATGTAATAAGAGTGAATACAAGCGAATACAAGCGAATACCGGCTGCTATTCCACGCATTAATGAAATCGGTATCCACCCGAAATCCCGCTCGGATCGACCCGGTTTCCACTCGATTTCCATGCGTTCCACCCGTAATTCACTCGATTTCCACCCGTGCATCCACCCGCAATCCGGTCGATTTCCATGTGGAATCCGGTCGCGTCCGCTACTGGAATTCCGATCGCTGGCGCGAGCAGATGCCGACCGGATTTCGGGTGGACCCCAGGACCTGAGTACAGCAGCTTCTACTAATAAATTCGAGCAAAAATAGGTAAAAAAAGCGCCTGCAGCACAGCTTCTCCTAAATAAACGTAGATAGCTTCGTATTTTCTTGATAGAATCAAAACGAATTTTCAAATTGCGCGCACGAAGTTGTTTCCTAAAACCGGCCGAGCCTAAGCTATAATACAACAAGACCTGCGTCCCTGCCAGAAAAATTAACTATCGAAAACGAAGAAACGTAACTTTCAAAGCTCTAGAGCGCTTCAACCTTCCGACTATCTAAGAATTTACTAGCATCTCATGCGACGAAAATTATGCCTGAAAAACCATTGCGAAATGTTCCAAGGATTTAATGAACGCTACGAAAAAAAACACGGCTCTCAAAACCCGTATTCTGAAACACAAAAGACCGTTGCACATTATAAAATTTATTCAACATGACAAACTGTACAAAAGAATTATTCCTCATTTTTCATCAAATCTTCGCCCAATTCAGTGAGACGAGTGGCCAGCTGACGAGCAACTGGAATGTAGACCTCACAGTGCTTCTCAAACGTGTCGGCCGCCTTGTCCACCTTGATGACGATCTTCTGAGCATCCTCGTGCTTTGTGCAGGCCCTGATCTCCGTTAAACGCTCCTTTCCCGTCTTCATCACTTTCTCCACCGCCTCGTCGATGGTCGTTTGAATGTATTTCAGGTTTCCATGCAGACCTTCGAGATTTTCGGTGTACTTTTTATCGCTTCGCTGCTCCATTTGGTCGAGTTCTATACCGAGAAGCTTGACAACAGCGTGTCCTTGATGAGAATCGACGGCACAGACGCCACAGAGGACCTTTTGACAATCCTTGCAAGTGAAAAGACGCTCAACCGGCTGCTCGATGCTGCACTCCGAGCAGTTCTGCAAGGCTCCGTTCTTGCGATCCTCCTCCTTCTTGGCATCGATTTCCTTGACTTTCTCCCTCAATTCCGTCAATTCGTTGCTTTGCTGCTTCACGATTTCGGGTATGAACGCTGACAGTTGAGTGTCAGGATAACACTCGGGTCCCCTCGTCGTAATGTTGCACTTGTTGCAAAGTTTGCCGCCATTACGCTTGCGGTAATAACACTCCCGGCAATGATAATGTCCACATTGACCGAGGAAAGCGATGGCTCCTTCGAATATTCCGATCGTCTTTTCACATCCAAAGCATTTTGGCTCGATGATGGGCAGGGTATATTCGTATCCATCATCCGTCTTTTTGAATGCTGGTTGATTGCGGAAGTCGATCTGCGCCACGATCGGCGGAGGTGGATTGTGGGCGGCAACAGTGATAAGAGGCACGGAGTGCGCGGTAGCCACGCCAGCATCCTCGGCTCTCCCTCCTTGAAATCGAACGGCTTCTCGCACCAGGGGCAATTGAAAGCCTTCGTCAACATCGTCGTTTACCTGGAATTAAAATATTAAATTAAGATGGCTCCGTTTAGAACAGTATTAGAAGGATAGACAAAAAGAGTCAATCGCACCGCTAGGTTTTTGGAAGAATTCAACGCGCGATGGACAATAAATCTCTCTGGAACGCAATCACAGTTTCGCCCAATCAGTGTTTTTTGCGCGTCGGATCCGCGCAAATTCCGCGTTTGAAGCAAAAATTTGGCCCTAAGCTTTGACAAGGGTAAAACTTGGTTAATATGCCGTATATTTCTAAACAAATACAGATTATACCGATATTTATACAATTCCATGACTTCTCAAAGAAATCGTATGCAGAAAGGAAGGTGGAGAAAAAGAAGAAGAAAAGAATGTGAATAAACTGGCGTAAAAACATTCACAAAACGGATCAAGCAATTATAAAAATAAAACAGCGTTTCATGAAGAGATCGGGAGGCGCCATGAAGGGTGGGCGGGTGCATCACATTCGTCAGGATCAGATGAGCGACCTAGAAAACATGCATAAAAATTCCTTGTCTAAGCTTCAAAAATACCTTGTTGAGCGTGTCGGCCAATCGTCGTACATTAACTTCCACCTTAAAGCACCTTGTTCATCTGCAGACCGGCGGTGACGATCAGTCCGTACAGCTTGTGCGCCTGGTTTTGCACCTGAATTGGAGGCATAATCGCTTTACAATGAGCCCCAACCTGATCCTCAACAGGTTCCTTGGTGAAGAACTTGGTGCTGATCTTCTTGGCAATGATGCTGGCACGAACGTAGTCTTCACGAGCAACAGATAGTCGCATCTGTTCCAGAAGGAATTCCACCTAAAACAACTTTTTCAAAAAAGAAAACAACCGAATACCCTCTCCTTGACCTCCATACTGCCATACGTCTCGACCTGGAGCTCGAGAAGCATCGTCGCCGCCTCCTGCAGTTTTCCTACAAAAATAGAGCTATCAAAAGTATTCGTAACAAGAGAAACCTTGTGCCTCAAGCTTCTTGACGACATACGACGTCAAACGAGCCCGATCCACTTCCACGTAAATCTAAAAAAATCAAAATTATAGGTTTAAAATCCTTTTCAAAAACCTTTCCGGCAGTGACAGTGCGGAGTGTCTCGATGAGCTTCATCCTCAATTCTTCAGTTGGCATCTTTTCAACCATTTGACAACAGCTGCGAACCATTCGAGCGATGGCCACCTTGATGAGAAGCCGCTTCTTCGACAATGCCAGAATTGTCTCGTTTAGCAGATCCCATTGTTTCCCGTCAAAGCACATCCTACAAAAAAAAGAGGAATTATCTTTGAAAATTGGATAATACTGACTGGACCATATGTTGAACCACGCGGGCATTGCTCTTCATATCACTGCCGAGACGCGACTGCTTCTCCAGTGTGTTCAACGACTCGACAGCACCCGCCACGTTTCCAGTCTGAAAAGCGGAAAATGAGAGGAGCAAACATTCTCTACCTTGGCAAGAATATCGGCATTAGGGAGGGCGGCGTCGACATCTTTTGTGTAGTCGTACTCCATCTTCAGAAGACGGCCATCGCCCACCTGAAAAAATGAATGAAGCCTGAAAGGATCCGATACCTATGCGGCTAGCTGGGCCAAGGAATCCGTCGTTCGACATGGGGCCCGAGGAGCAGCTCGGTGCGCTGCTTCGGCATAATCCTGCAAAAAAAAAAGTGGTTTTGAAAATAAACAAAAAACAAATGAACGAATGGAAAGAAATCAGAAAACAAATGGAAATCAATAGAAGCTTTAGGCGCTAAAATACTCTAAAAGTTCCGGGTAACCCCGATAAAACCTTTTAGTAAAATGGATAACTCAAAATAATATTTAAAATTAGTAGTAGAACGGATACGGAGCGAAACCGAATTCCTAAAACAGGAGCGACTATCCGGGGAGCATAAAGCGCCCCTCGGGCGCGCCCGAAATTGCGCGAAAGAGCGCGTCCGCTGGCGCGCCTGCGGGCGCAATCGGGAAAGCGCCGGAGGGCGCGCCCTAAACCCGAAGACACGCGGGCGCGCCCTTCCTTGGCCGTGTGTATAGAATAGGTTCTGATAATGCTTTTATTATTTAAATAGGGTACGCATAGCTTTTTACGGCGTAGTACCCGAAGCGAGACCTGCGGCTTCACGTTACCCGGAGCAAACGGACGGTCTGCTGCCTGAATTTGTATTTTCGGGTTGCGTTTGTTTCGTAACCTGCTTTATAATCGGATACATCGCCCACCCCACTTGTGCCTCCATCGTTCGCCAAAAGTACGCTTTACTACTCTACCAGAATGTTGAATACAATTGTAAGATGGCCCCAACAAGTGGAGTCTTCCCATAGTCTCTTAACTCCGCCTTAGTAAACTCTAAGTAATAGTTAGATAGATATCGACTCACCGTTGGACTTACCAGCTTCAGGTCGACAGCAAGACGTAGTATCGGAACCTTCGTTCTTACACACCCATGGTTACTAAAAGCGCAAATTATTTGGCACATAACTGGAAACCTACGTGCATTACCTGAATCTATGTTTTGCAGAAGCCACAATTAAAATAAAGGAACGAGGGGGGCGATGATAACCCCAAACTCATACTAGAAAGACTTACCAGGACTCCAAAATGCAAAAGTAATAATAAAGATTAATTAACTGCGACTATAAGACAAATAAACTAAAGTCTTTAAAGTGCCCCTGGAATTTAGTCGTTTTTCCGAGCGATTGAAAGGTGTTCAAGCAAAGAACAGCCTGAGGGCGCGCCTGTGTTCTTGCTTGCGCCAATCGCGCTTTCCCGTGACTCCAATGCGCGCTTGGCGCTTTTGCGCCCGAGGGCGCAAATTGCGCCAGTGGCGGAACGTCCAGTTCAAGGTGCCCGCGGGCGC